GTGCAGACCACTGAAGAGCAAGTTTGTTAATAAAAATAAATTGTTAAATTGCCAATGTTTCCTAATTCTTCAAAATTTAATCATGTAATCAAATAAATGAGGCCAAACAAGAGTCAACAGCAAAAAAAAGCTGTTTGGTACAGGTTGTGCCGGCCAATCTTTTTCCAGATGCAACATTCTAGATGGTTTAATGTAATTCAAAACATCTCTAAGATGTAATGCAAATACTTTTCTTTTTTCATATAGATGCCTACAATTACCTCAGAAATAATTATTCTAGAGCCTTACATGTAAATAAACGCAGGTTCACTAAATAATAAACTAGTTTTCTCATCAGATGAAGTAATCAGATTCAATTTGAAGAGGACTATGGTGGAAATATATTCTTCCAACACTTTGTGGCAAAAGATGTTGTGTAGAGTTTTATAAGTATTAACTATTTAACAGTTAAACACATTTTTAAATTATTCTTATTCAACAACGTAAAGCTGACTGTAAGACATTACATTATATTATGGAAACATTTTAGCCCATCCTGTATGGTCCATAGAGGTTTAAAGTACATAAAGTGGAACAATTTTCAAATATAAACAAACTTTGTTGTAGATTGCATTTCTGCCATTATTGTATTTCTGTAATGCCGACATCAGTTACAGTACTAACTTAACATTTTAATATCAGCTCTACTGTTTATACATATGATTCCCAAACTTTGACAAAACCTACTGTGCTTATACACTTATTTATCTTTTTTCCATTCCAACACTGTAAGCAGGCTATATGGAAGAATACGAAAAAAATATAATTTTAAACAGCAAAGATCAGATTTTAGCATTTAAAAATCTTGTAAGTAGATAGGAATTCAACCTACAGATGGCAAGAAGGGACAGCAGTGTTGCTAAGTCTGCTTATCAATTTAGCTTGTTCTTTTTCTGCAGACGCTTGGAGATTTCATGAGTCAGAGGTTGCGTATTTTTACACTTGTTTTAGAATGTTAAGTTGTTCATTCAGGCTTGGCTTTTATAAACTGTACTTTTATAAACTGTACATTATCTCACACCTCCTAAACTTCATTGTCATTTCCTGGTTATCATGTCCGACCGAGCTTGGCTGAACTCACACCAAACCCAGAGCTCATAGTGAAAGGGAAACAGTTGACAAGGCAGCGATAGAATGATGCATCCATGAGTTTCTGGGTGGACTCGTATAAGCCTCTGAGCAGACAGCTGCTTGCACTGCAACATTTTTAAGAACGGGTATACGTTGCCTCACCCCACTGATTGGTTGGAATGTACTTTGTACAAGTAATAAGTATTTATCATGAACTGTTTTATATGTGATACCAAGCTGACAAGGCTCCCCAGGCAATAACACACTGCTCAGAGCAGCCAGCAGCAGGGACCCTCGGGATCACAGAGTCTCTCATCTCCTCCCTTTCTGTGTGTGGTGGGACACAGGGGTGCGCCATGACTGTGTGGAAAACGACGGCATTTGTCATGAAAAATGTAGGAATGCGCCACTATAAGGGCTGAAACATGTGCAAAGACGATATGGCACACAGGATGCACACAGCCCGGTCAAGTATGTGGGGGAAACTAAAGCTTCAGACAAGAATCTAATTTCTTTATTTCATTGTTCTCATTGTTCAAATTCTAAATTGTATCATGATCCAGATCACCACAAACATTGTATGGGTTTTAAATTTGGTTAGCTACGGTACAAAAATCTTTCCACAACTTTTTCCCTCATCTCACGAGCCGTAAATACTAGTGTTGCACCGATACCTATAACATTTTGAGAGTCAAATGTTTCAACTATTGTCATCCATTCCAGGAAGGCAATAAAAATTTCTACTGAATTCACTTTGTATTAGTCTTTTTCCTGCTTCACAAAGGTAGGCAGCAGCTTGACAAAGCCATGATGGCAATTATTTTTGATCCAAGTAGGATGCAGTTCTTCCTATATACACACACACCTCAATTTCAAACAGATGGTATCAGTATCTGCTTAATCTCACTTCAAGTGTATTATTAATAATGGTGAAAGCTGTCTTTTTTTGTAAATGATAATCTGATCGTGTCAAAACACTCTGAAAAATATTTATTTTGTTATTAGTGACAAACTATAGCTATGTCTAAAATCATCTAGTCATAGCTCCCGTTCGTTGTTCCATTCATAAGGTCCATAGGAAAACTTGATTGTGGGAAAGGAAGTCCTGAGTGCTGTGCTTCCTGTCAGCCTTTAGCCATCCGGAAGTCATTAGAACAATATAAACCGACATTGATGATATCAGGCACATCTGGGTATACAGCTTTACAAAAAAGGAATTGCAAGTAAAACAACTTACACAAACTTAGCCAACAGATGAAGCTCTCTATAACTCAAATCAAAGCATGAAGGTGTATACTGTACGTTAACATGCATCATAGACAGAACATGCAAAGGAATTATGCTTGTTTGTTCATTTGCATGAGGTGGAATGTCTATAGGCATACATACGCTTCGGACAACACTGATGGTGAACAATGACACACCTTTGCTTTGGCTAAAGAGTACTAGCCATTTTGATTATTTTGGATGCAGCCTTTTCATTAATAGAAGTGCCTTAAATCTATAAGAGTTCCTCAGTGGAGTCTTAAGCTATCTGATAGAACCCATTAAAATGTCAGGTTAGAGAATTTACATGTCTTGTCTTATAGCAAGAAAGTTGAAAAATACACTGAATGAATATACTGCAGCTTGACAAGTATGCTAAAAACAAGAGGATTTACCCAGAGCCATTAGCTGAAAACTGAACAAATAATGGAAGCTAATTGATAATATATATGTTAGTTTTGTATGGCCAATTCTTGTTTCCTTAATAAGTCTGCTTTCCTAAGTCATGAAGATCAGCATAGAGCAATATCTTGATGTTCAAGGCTGAATTACAGCCGAGACCCAAGAGAGGAACCTAATTTAAGGACATTTAAAAAGCTATTTAGAGAGCAAAGGAACCATTGTTTAAGACCTTTCTAAAAGTTACAAGAAAGTCTTAACTTTTTGGAAGCATAATGAAATTAGAGGGGGTGATTTAGAAGTTTTACAAAAGTGTGTACTTTCTGTAAAGCCTCAGTTGTTGTTGTGCAATAAGACTGCTGAAACAGATTAGTAGCACAATTCAAAATGCGAATCAAATTAAAGTAATGAATAATTAGTCCATGACTCGAAACTAATGCAGTAATGTACACATTAATGAATCAATAATTGGACAGTTTAATTAGTTTTCTTTGCTTATCTTTGCAATAAAGCTGCTATATTAATGATATATACTACTTTTCAGTTTAGGGATTTAAGAAAAGCTATAGTAAGTGTTGTTAATTTGTAGTTGGGGTACTGGTGTAAGAAAACCATTGTGCTCAACTGGTTAGACTTCTCTTACTGTACAAGCAACATAATAATGATGCATTATTTTTTATCCCTCTATTCATGCACTTTTGCCCTTCTTTTTGTCAGCTGATTGGCAGTTTGCAGCAACAAATGAACAAGTGGTAGCAGAGGAATCTAATGCCTTAAGCACAGCTAAAAGAAAACTTTACTGCTTTGAAAAAGCCACAACTTCAAACTTCTGTATACTTTGATATTGGCAACCTGACTGTAGAGGTGAGTATTCCAGTTTTAGTAAGTAATAAGCCTGCAGAGATTAGTTCCAACCGTTTACACTTCCAGCTCCATTGCATACTCAGCAACTAATGTCTCAAATGCTATTCCTCAAGCTCCAATGTTATGCAGCTTTTAGATGCATCTGCTTCAACACACCTCACTCTGATAAAAGCTCATTAAGGGAGCTGTAAGCTTGAGTACTTGCTAATAAAGTGGTTTAGTCACTTAATTTAGGGGTGTAATATCAAGGGTGCACGTACAATTTGTAGCCAATTTAAGTTAAAGCCAATTGTATCATATTTGATACATGAGTTTTGAGACCTCTACATCATCAGTGTTATATTTTTATTCTTGAAAACCCAGTCTTACACAATAAGATGCATGTAGGGAACAGAAAATATTTAAAAGATTATAGAGAAACACCTTATGTATCAAATTTGAATTAAATAAATTATCTAATTTAACTTATACAAAATGTCTTTTGTCATTTTTCAGAAAGTCCAATAACAACTCTAATAATAAAAAAAAATAATTCTGTAAATTATTTTGTGATCCAGGCTTTAAATGGTTATATTCAAGATCACTCAATTAAAGTCATCTAGTTGAGTGAAGGGGACAAAGAAAAAGTAGGCACAGGCTTTACTTTCTGACACAGATTTACCCAACTATGCCCAACAGTGTGTGACGGCTTCAAGTTTTAACTTAGCTTCAATTTTTTACTTGGGGTAAGCTCCCCGGTAGCATAGATGAACAGTTCTTAACCCTAGTTTAGATTAACAAAAAAACTACAACAGAATGATGGCCGAGGCTTCATGAAGCATATATGCAATTATGCATTAGACATTTCTCTTTAGGAGAACACATCATGTTTAGTGAGAACTAATTAAGTGTATGATCTCTGCTGATTGACTATCACACCTGTTGGATCCTTCATGTTGCGTCTCCACTCAGGGGTTTCAAGCACAATGTAGAAGGAGGATTCCTTATTGTACTCCTCCCGGTCTAAGATTCTAACGGTTATGGTCTTCCTGCATGAGACAACACAGGTACACACAAACACATACAGAGGAGGTGGTAAATGCATGCATGAAAAACAAAAAGGGCATGACAAAGTATGCAAATTAAAACATGTACAAAACAAATAACCAAAACTAGGTGGTGCATGTGGTGAGATGAGGTGACCCACAGCCTGCTGCATGCCCAAGGACACATCAGGAGGAGAGTAAAACAAAGGGTAAGATCATACAAAACTGAATCTCCTCCTGTGGAGTTCCATGGGTTAATTGCATGCAGTCTCTGCAGTATGGCGGACACTCTGAAGCTTGCAATGGTCAGCTTTTAAAATTGGTCAGGAGGCTCACCCTCTTCTTGACCTTTGGCGTCATTGCTCTCCACGAGGCGAGGCTCCCCAATCTCAATGTAGAAGGTTTTGTTCTTCTCATACTCCTCGTCATCAATTATTTTCACCTTGATGATTTTACTGGGAGAAAAGGTAGGGGTAAGGAGAAGGTAGAGAGGAGAAGGAAAAGAAGGCAGAACGATGAGGACAGAAAAAGCCAGAAACTGGAAGAAGAAACAGAAAACAAGCAGCATTCCCTAGAGACTGTGTATGACACAGCCTATTATTTAGGTGTTCTTTTATTTAATGTTGCCTCTTTCATCTATGATGCATTTAAATTGACTTAAATAGCATAACAAGATGGGTCTCGACCTCTGATCTATGCTCAGCGGACACCTTATTCAAGACGCTATTAAAGTTTAAAGTAGATAGCAATCCTCTTGGTTAAAAGACACATACCTTAAATGGTAAAGAGAAACAGAAGTTGTTTGGAAAATGCTGGCATTTGGGACATAAGCATCAATCAAATCCAATCCCTTGAGTTTTCAAAAATGGTCCTTCAACATCCGACACCCATCAAGACAAAGAAGGCAGAATATATTAAGGCCAAATATGACCCCCATTTGTAGTTCTCTGAACCAAATGTATCCTTAAATAATGATGTTGTTCCAAGCTAAGTCTGATGACCTAAACTCAGGTTTAGGAATAAAAAATGTTTCTAATAAACACAAGACCCTGGGATGAGGAAAACTGATCTCTTAAAGCCTCTATAAGGAAGGTATATTTTAAAACGGAACCAACTGCCCTCTCTAATTACTAACACATGTCTGTAAAAAGTCATAAGGAGTTCATAATGCTGATCAGCTCTATAAATTCCTCAAAGCTCAATATGACAGAGATCTGCCCCAATGCGGCAGGAAACCAGAGAATATTCTATCCATTTTGCTCCACCTGCTAGAGCCATCTAACTTTACCCGCTGCATGAAATCCTAAATATTAAATTACCTCTCTATCAATCCATCTATATCAAGAAAATAGAGATTTGAATGATGTTTACTTGTTTTGGAACAGTATTCCAGGGAACCTAAACAAAGCCAAGACACAAACCCAAATCTAACATCCTTTCAAATATCTTTGAAAGCATACAAACTACTTTCTTAGATCTTTTCGTTGAATAAATATTGATCAGTTAGCAACCTTTTATCTAAAGCCTTGTTTTATTAGTAGAAGTGTTCTCCATTGATTCAGCTGCTTTTTTCCCCTCCTTTCTGTAGCCTTGTGTCCATCTAACTGAAATGTGAATTTTAAGCAAACGAAAAAAAAAAGTAAATGCAAATTTGCCGTGTTTCCATTTGGTTTAAAGTGAATTAACCAAGCGCACCAAAGTGTAATGTTGTCATACACTACGTCCTCGCTCACCTGTAATAAACAGGAAGTTGAAGCTGCACTCTGGCGTAAACCATAGATCAGTAATAGAGGAAGGTTTTAAAACATGGGCTGCTATCGAGCAAGTTGTTTCTACGTTCAAATTTCAGCTAGTAATGGCAATGTTGCTTCCATCCATGTCTTCTCGAATAATAGAAACATCCAAGAAGATGCCGAGATCTGAAACAGCTGATCAGTCATGTGAGGTAAAAATTCGCTACACCAACGCTGATTCAAAAAGTGTTTACATCTGGGGTTTTGTGCATCAAGCCTTTATTGATAAACCAAAAACTAAATCAAGCAAGTGTAAAAACTTTTATAGCAAATTTAGGGGAGTTTTTCTAATTTGGTCGTTTCCATCAAGCTTTTCTGATGCGTACTTTAGAACAGCATTGGAAAGGGCTGAAGGAAATGAACCTAATGTTCAATTGAAATAACTTTTCTCTTAACAAGTATACAGATGACATTGTTCTATCACCCCCCTGCATAATACGAGTAGGGCCTAGTGCAGCCAGCATGCTATCAGTAGAGTTATGACAGCAGGCCCTGCTAAAAAAAGGGTAAAGACAAAATAGCTTTGACAGGGTTGCAGGGAATGATCTACCTCAGATGCCTTTATTGCCTTTACATCAATAAGCAGGAAGGGGAATGAAGTGGTGCTGGTCTTGAATTTGAAATGCCTTTGAAAGGGCACAGATAATCAGCTCCTTGTTTACAGTAGCTTAATCTATGAAACAAGGGTTCACCAGACAATGCAGCAATATTTTCAAGTGTTAGTCGGTGTCCTCAGAGATTTTTCATACGTCAGAGATTTTGTCATTTTCTTTTTTTTTTTTTTTTGACCAAGTACTTGAATAGTTTAGGAGAGAAAGCTGTAGCAAAAAATGACACTCCACATCAAGGGCTTGATTGGTCAGGCAACTGAGACCACAGCTGGATAACTATGCAATAACCCTGCATAATAATCCTGCTATAAAAAACAAAAAAAAAAAAACTGTTATATGTAGACACACTGTATATACTACTGTATATATCCCATGCACCTTTTTCGTCCTTCAGACCCATCTTCTTCTTTTGCTATTTGAGCTGATGTAACAAGTAAATTTCTCCACTGGGAGATAATGAATAAAGTCAATCAATCAACCAATCAATATTCATAAGATACAACACTGTAATATTTGTAGCAACTCCCCTAGTAAATGTACTTGTATATAATATTTGCTTTTGCCTTTGACTATTCTTCTAATTAATACTACTGCTGTAGCTTGGTTGCTTACCTTGTCTCAAATAGTTAATTTTTTGGTAAATCTAACCGGATAATGAAGATAATTAAATCTGAATAAAATCAAATTGATGGATGCATAATATCCTGTTTTTGAACAGATTTAAAACATTTTATCATATTTTTCCAAGAATACATCTGCCAAATCGGAAATTCAATTGCACCATTTGAGATAAACTTAAACTCAATTTCAATCTAGTCTGTTAGGAAGTAAACATGTTTATACGTAGAGTCAACAGGATTAACATTGAGGCCTTTCTGAGACTTGTAACAATAAGAGCATTTTAAATATAGTTTTGAATCCTAAAAGACAAACTAAGCATGAAAATGGGAAAGAGATTTTACATTATTAGCAATAATATTGGAAAGGATTTTAGGCCAAGATAAAGGAGTCACGTATCAATAATTGAGAATACATGAAAAATGCAATAACGACCTTAAAGTCAGTGTTTCTCTGCACTCAGACGGATACGCAAGCTAAAATCAATACCTCTGCTTAATGCCATCAGTTTCACACATGAACATGATATCAAAACCTAGGATACACACTCATGACTTTGACCTACTAGTGCCCTTCATATATTTGATTTAATAAAAGCAATCAGCAAAAAACATTGCTAAGAGTTCTAATGATAAAGTACGAATGTGGAAACCAAGTACATTTCTCCAAGGGTCGTTGTCACAGAGTAAAAAATAAATAAAGTAAGAGTAGTTGAATCGATTAAACTTCTCATAGTGCACTGTGTGTATTGACGTGCATTCAGTATTGGAGCTGGCCTCGGTCATTCTTGACACTATTCATACTCCAGGTCATGGTTGTGTGGGGCGGTTTGCTCAGCGCGTGTGAATGTTAAGGAGTGCCTGCAGACAGTGGTGTTTATCTTGTGTTTTCAGTCTGGAACAAAAACCGTCACTCTGATCCAAATCCACCACAAGGCAATGATAAAGAAGCAGAGAGGAAACTCATAATCCGGCCCTGAGGATAGGAAATGGGAACATGCACACCCTTAATGTGTATCATCTCTAATCACAGATCTGGACCTTGTGTTTGAACGGTCAGTGAGCAATGTTGCATAATCACCATTACGATTGCATCCAAGCTCACACAATGGTTTACAAACTGTCAGCCTATTTAAACAAAACTGGAGGCATACAAACATTTTTTATACCGATACTGATGTTCTATATGGTGAGCAGACATTTCATTAAATTGAAACTTGTATGCACTACACTTCACTTGTTTTTCCAACATCACTTATAAGTGTTTATCCATCTAAATCTATAGATCACATAATAATCATCTACATAATTTAAACACTGATTATTTACTGCTGCAACATGCAAACACAAAAACATGCATTTAAAAGAGTTTTGCATGTTGCAATAAAGGACAAAGACACCCAACTTTGTCCCACAGCTGCAGCAGATGGAGAACAGAATCAACCTTCTGCTGCAGAGATTTCATCGACCACTAGGCTCTCAGTGGAAAACACAGTACATTTAAATCATCTCCTGCCACAAGATGGAACCTCTGAGTAGGTAATCTCTTTGCTGATGAAATTGAGATTCTCAGAGCATGTCATTAGTGTGAAACTACTTCCATCGATGGCAAACATAACCACTGTTAGCTCCCAACCTGATGGTTGTTTAAAGACCTTTGAATTATATCCAAACCAAGAATATACATAATGATGGTTTCAGCAAAATAAACTCTTGATAAAAATTATTTCAGAGGTTGCTGCCTTTATTTTAGTAGGACAGACCTGAATAGGAATGAGAGCACAGAGCTCTTATATGACATGGAACAAAGAGGAATTTAAAAGAATGGTGGTCAGCATGAGAGTAAAGATTTGGGCCTTCAAAAGAAAATTCTTTCAATCAAATCAGCCACATCATAAATGTTTTGTCTTTGAACCAAATTGTTCAGAGGCTCTTTTAAAAGTTAGATTTTTCAAGATCTCTTCCCTATGTATTGGAATTGTATTTACACCCATTGCCAGGGTTGACAAAACAAAACACACTGATTCAGAAACAGGGCAGATACATAAAAAGTCATAGAGGTTTGCATTTATAACTTTCTACAGCTAGTAATTTGGAGTAAAAACCATTCATGACTGATAAAAAAAAATAATAATAATAATAATAATAGTACAGAACCTCCATTTATGCAAATGCACTTCAACCTACCATAGATGCATAAAGTTTATGCATTATTGGTATTTTTAAAGTTTAAAAATTCAAAGCACTAGTATATGTAAAATAAATGCATGAGATGTACTAAAATATATATGTAATAGCGGACCAACTGATTTTTTATTTTTCAGTTACACAGTTTTTTAATCCAGGTGAGCTCACTAGGAGAGCATCCTTGGTTGCCAAAGGGATCATCGCTCCAGCAGACTCAGTCATTTTTTTCCTTCTAAGGTTTTTCTAC